CTTTGTTTTAAGCATTAAAATTAAATAATAAAAGCTTTCAAATTTAATTAAATTTTAAACTTGCGTTAGTGAATTGCGCATTACAATAATTCCTAGGACATTGGCCAAATGATTTTTTGGCTGATTCAGTTAAGTTTGTGACTTTGGAAATAATAGATTCAATAGATAAATTGATATCAGATATATACGTAATTTAAAATAAGGCAACTAATTAAAATATTATACAATAATATGACTACATATCGATATACATATTTTTGGTTGAATACAGAATTCAAAAGCAACTTCGATAGCAAATAGTTATAAAAAATTTAGAAAGCATATCAGTTCGAAAAATTGCCAAAAACTTAGGTGTTAGCAAGTCTTCTATGAATCGGGTTCTCAGGCACTTTCAAAGATATTGAAAAAATTCTATCACTTTCAAGAAAACCATGTTTATTAAATACAAACAATATAAATATCTTAAAATCTTTAATGAATGAAAACTTGATAGTATAATCTGCGGGCCGGACCGGGCCGGGTATAGGTTTAAACAAGGCCCGGCTCGGTTTATTTCACAGGCTTTTTTTTTTTCTGGGCTGGGCTCGGGCTTAAAAATAATTTGCGGGTTGAGTTTCGGGTCTAAGCATACCCGACCCGACCCGGCCCATCCCGCACCCTAATTACTTGACTAAATTCAATAAAAATTTTTTTATTCAAATTCTATAAACCTATAAAATTTAAATAAAAAATATTTTATTAAATTTGATTAGATGATTATTAAAATATTTTAATCAAAGTTTTAAAAATTCTTAGTTATTATATTTATATAATAGATCACTTTGTTCTAATCAAATAGAATTAATCTAATTTAAAAATAAAATAAAATAATAATAATAATTAAAAAAATTAATATAGTCAACCCTCTCTAAATACAATTCGTACAGACTATATAGAAATTTTAAAAAATCTTGTATTTAGAAAGATATTGTATTTAGAAAAATAAAAATCTATAAGTATATATATATAATAGAAACACAGCAAGACTATGTATTTATAAAGGTTTTTTATAAAATATGTATTTAAAGAAGTTGTATTTATAAAGGTCTAACTGTATTTTTAAAAAAATAATAATAAAATAAGAGAATATTATTATAGTGCTATAGTGCCATAGTACTATTCTATATATAAATACAAAATTGATATAATATATAAATTAAAATAATCTAATCTTTACAAAAAATAAAACTTTTAATTAGATTTAGATTAAAGCTAAGATTAAGGTTAGACAAAGCATAAGTTATACTAAAATTTTGCAAAAAAATTTTTTTATTAGAATACAAAAGATAGTTTTTTAAATAAAATTTTAAAATATAATTAATTTTTAAAAATTTATTATTTTTATTACACAAAGATGATCTGCATATTATACTTGATTTTAAATTTTAATTGATTACAATACTCTAGCATTATAATGCTATAGACTATAAAATAAATCTCATAAAATAATATTTAAAAAAATATTATTAAATATCACAAGTTGCTATATTACAAGTTAATATAATTGACTAATTAGATTACAGAATCTTATATAACAAAAATAAATAAAAAATTAAAAATTAAAAAAAGTTAAAATTTTAAATATTTTGAAATATTATTATATAAACTAGTTTTGGGCTTCTAATTAAAGTTTTTAATACATAATTTTGCATATATTTATGTCTTCTAATACTAGCTCAAACTCTAATTCTAACTAATAATAATTTTATTTTTTAAAATATATATTAACTTGCAATATTACAACTTGCAATATTTAACAATATCTTTTAAAAAAAATAAACAATAAAAAATATAATATATAATTTAGAGAATTACTATTTTCATCAGTGGTGATTTTCCTACTCGTAAATAATATAATATAGTTAATATATATTATACAATATAAATATATATAATAATAAATTACTATGCAACTATATATATTTACTAATCTAATTAATATAGATCCTTAAAACTGATTTACTATTAGTTTTTAAAACTAACTCGCTTAATCACTAAAACTAATTGACCTAACTCTAACCTCTAAAACTAATTCGCTTAACTCTAACTCTAAAACTAACCCATTTAACTCTAACCTCTAAAGCCAATCTGACTAACTCTAACTTCTAAAGCTAACACGCCTAACTCTAATCTCTAAAGCCAACCCATCTAATTCTCAAAAACTAATCTGATATATATCAATAATAGAACTTAGAAGTTAAATCAATATCAATTTCACTTACCAGCAGCTAATCTTAGTTGTCTTCTACAGATTTTAAACTTCTTAAAAATGCAGCAAGGTTTGGACAATTCTCATTACCACAACAGCATTGAAGGTTTATAGAAGACCTATTGGTAGATGAGGAAGATAAGGTCTCCAACTAGTTTAAAAGTTAACTTGAGAAACACTGTTATTAGAAGATTGTGACAGAGTGGCAGTTGAATTTTCATTATCACTCCAATTGTTTTTGTTTGCTACTCTTGTTGAGTAAATTCAAGCCAATGAGACAGATCAGTTGGATTTATGCAAAAAGTGGCAACACCAAAAAAAATCTAAATACATCACCAATACATATCAATACAATTTTTCAATGTGTATCAGGTTTGCACTGCAGATTTCCAGAATAGATATAATATAATACGATCAAGAAAATTTAAAACAAATGACCATTTTGTAAAAATTGCTTATCTCTTAAAAATCTATATTTAAATAATTTTTGCTATACCACTATGAATCAGATTTCAAGATCAGGTGAAATGTAATATGATCAAAAAAATTTAAAACAAACATCTTTTTTGTCAAAAATCGGTTATCTTTCAAAAACCAGTATAAGAAATCATCTTTAATGCTCTAATAAAAAGTTTTGTCGAGCAATTTTACTATGTAAACTACTCTTCTCTGATTCTTAACTTTGACCTAACTCTAACATAAATGAACTTTAAAGAATCAGATTTCAAGATTAAACAAAATATAACACGATTAAGAAATTCAAAACAAATATTCATTTTGTCAAAAATCGCTTATTTCTCAAAAATTAGTATAAGAAATCACTTTTAATGCTCTAATAAAAAGTTTTCGTCGAGCAATTATACTATGCAAACTACTCTCCTCTGATTTTCAACTCTGACCTTAACCCTAACATAAACGAGACTCCAAAAAACAGCACACCAGAGCGAGAAGTTAGCATAGCACCAGCATACAGTGATACCAAGTGATGCAAAAGATCAAAATCACCACTTATTAATGACAACAACACCAAAAAATGATAATAGCACTGAGGCACCAGTATATGATGATACCAAAGCAGCAGCACCAGCAAAATCAGAATATTCAGAAAATGCCACTAATTGAAAAAAACAATGACACAATAGCACCAAAAATGATAACGCCAAAAAAATGACAACACTAAAAAAACGACAACACCAAAAAAATGACAACATCAAAAAAATGATGAAATTAACGGTAATGCAGGAAAAGAGAACTATACTATATAAAAGAAAAAATTAGATTTAGTAACTTATATCATCGGAAAGAGAAGATTAACAAAAAATATATATATATATTTATATACAGATCAGTGATCATATGGTTTTATATAGATCACTGTTATGTATAACATAAGGGGTGAGGAAATCATCACTAGTGAAATATAGTTATTTTCTATAATTTATTATAAAAAACTATAATATTATTAAAAAATTGATAAATTAAAAAAATCAATAATTAAAAAAGAAAATATTAATGTAGTATTATAGCACTATAGTGCTACTCTATATATAATTACAAGATTAGTATAATATATAAATCAAAACAATTTAGTCTTTACAAAAAATAAAGCTTTTAATTAGATTTAGATTTAAAGCTAAAGTCAAGGTTAGACAGAATATAATTTAAACTAAAATTTTAGTTTTTTAATTAAAATTTTAAGATACAGTCAGATCTCCCTAAATGCAACCTCCATAAATACAATATCTCTCTAAATGCTCATTTTTGTCTTGGCTGTATGAAATCATTAGTGTTAAATACATGTTCTATATTCTGCAAATACACGTTCACAAAAAAGATTTTTTATATTATACTAACCTCCCTAAGTGCACGTAGCCAATTAGAAGTCAGTATTTAAATTTGTTATACAAGTCTGCAGATTAAATATTAAAAGCTGCAATTTGATTAGCTCTTTCTAAATACAAATCTCTCTAAATACACGTTTTAGGCTGGTCTGTACACATTGCATTTATAAAGGTTTGACTATATAACTAAATTTTTAAAAGTTTATTGTTTTTGTTATACAAAAAATAATCTGCATATTATATCTGATCTTAAATTTTAATTGGTTACAATATTTTAGTATTATAGTACTATAGTACTATAAAATAAATTTTATTAAAAAAAATTAAGAATTAAATTTTAATAAATAAATTTATAGTTTACTAATTTATTGTAAATATAATAATTGAGTTATAACTATTATAATTTGAATAATTTTTTAGTAAAGAGCACTTATATATAATTTTATAGTATTATCTTTTCTTTTTAAAATTTTACAAAATTTTATTAAGCTAATTAATTTAAACTATTAAATAAAAATATAAAGCAAGTTTTTTAATTCTAATAATAATAAAATTATTAAAATTAGTTTAATATTTGGTGAGATATAAATATTTAAATTTACTATATACCCAACTGTGTGATTGTATGAAAGGATAACTGTATTATAAAATTTTAATCAAAATTAACTATAACTATAAAAAGTTTTATTAATAACATATTTTTATTTTCTATATAAATCTTATTGTACTACTAAAATCATATAATAAATAATTTATATACTCTTATTTTTAAATTAACAAAATTAAGAAATATAATATTGTTTATATATACTACTATTTATATATAGTTTTTAATTTTAGGTTTTTTTATATTTTTTTTTTAATTTGATAGACCTGCTTATTACTTTTTATTTGGAAGTACCAGAACTTATATTAACAGAGAGATATAATTTTTTATACTATATTTCATATAAGTAAAGATCAACTTGAGTTAAACTCAAAGAATAACCTATCTAGTAACAATTGGCTTTATATTGGATCCTCAACTTATTGAGGATTTAAACTCTCTGATTCTTAGCTCTAGCAGCTACACACTTTGTCAAAAGAGCCAAATTAACAAAAGTACAAACATAAAGAAAAAATAAAACAGAGATAAAGAGTATACAATAAAAGATACAAACAAGAAGAAAAAAAAAGGGGATAAGGGAATGTCAAAAAAAAATAAAAAAAAAATTTTTCTATTCTAACGATCTCTATTATAAGCCTATAAATGACTTGTAAAAATTATATACTATTAAATAAAATAGTCTCTACTTTAAATTTATCTGAATAGTATATGAAAGTTTAAAACTAGTAGAAAAATACTTTTTTGACTATATAATACAGTCCCAGATATTACCAAATATAGTAATTGATCAACAAAGTATTGAAGAATTTTCTAGATTAAATTCCTATATGTTAAAGACTTGCACAAGTTACTATATATAAAAAAAAATTTTTTTTTTTACACAGATACAAAAAAAAATAGCTTGCTATATTATTTTCAACATGTAGTTTAAGAATCCACACTGATCCCGCAACATTTAGTAAGGTGGTTGCTTCATAACTTGACAAAAAAAATATGTGTATTTTCACTAAGTTATATTTAAGAATGCCAGAGATCTGTGTAGTAAAAATTTAAGTATAAAAGAAACTACCATAAAACACTATTTGCGTAGTTTCAAGATCCGGCCAACCTATTTTATGGTTATAAAACAGTTATATCTTACTAAACGAAATGAGAATATATTTATATAGTAATTCATATAAATAATGCTATGTCTTCATTATACAATTTGCTAATATTATAATTTTTTTTAAATTTCAGTAACAAAGGTAGTATTCGAAATAACAATTCCAGCAGATAATAGTTTTGGATTTTAATATATAGGTGTATCCAAGGATAAGAAGGCATATTTAAATTTTACTGGAAACTGAATTTCTAGACGTAGCCAAGAATAAAAGAAGAGCACTTAGATGGCATTTAAAATTTGCTAAACGTGGTTATTATAGAAATATAGTTAGGAATATGAATGGTATTTCAAATCTGCTAAGAGGCAATAATCTTGAATTTTGCTATAATAAAGACATTTTTCTAAGAATGAAAAAAAGCGTGGTATAAATAGTATTTAAAATTCACTGAATTTATTTTATATTAACAATTATAATGTTATTTTTTAAGTTAGCCAATTCAAATTTGTTAAAAAGATAACAATCTTGGATTTTGCTATGATAAATGTATTAATTTTAGACAATTTCATCTTCAGGCACTTGAAGTTGCAACTTCAAGCAAATGCTAACTTCAAGCACGATATACATGTTGTGCCTCAGACTAATGCTTGCTTCGGATTATGGCTGATACACCTTAGGTATATGTATTGTGCTTTAAATTTGCACCTGCTTGAAATTACAACTTCAAAAGCTTGAAACTGCTCTGCGCGAAATTAGCACTGAAATTAAATCTTGTATGTGTTAATAATTTTAGGCAGTTTTAATTTCAGGCACTTGAAGTTGCAACTTCAAGTAGGTGATAACTTCAAGCATGACATATGCATGGCTAAAGGTATTTAATTTATACTGTATCATATGAATAGTATTTAATTTGACCAATTTATTTTATACTAAAAATTATAATATTGTTTATCACAGCTAATTCTGAAATCTAGAGCCTCGATTGAAATATAAGCTCTGCTAAGATCCATATATACACTTTAATTATCAATTCTATCCTTAAAACCTAACTCAACTCTAAAAAAAAAGCAGAACAAACACCCCAAAAATTTTTTAAAAATTCATAACTAAATAGGTCTGATTTTTAGTATCAGCTGCGACATTATTTTTTAGGTTGATAATTTTAAATTTGCTAAGGAAATAACAATCTTAGATTTTGCTACAACAAAGGCATATACATTATGTTTGAAGTTAGCATCTGCTTGAAGTTGCATTTAACTAGTATCTATTAGGCAGTTTCAACTTCAGAACTTGATATTGCAACTTAAAGCAGGTGCTAACTTCAAGTATGATATAGGCACAGCTAAAGGTATTTAATTTATATGATATGAATGGTATTTAACTTACTAAACTAAAAATTGAAAATTTATTTTTTAGCCATACAAACTTATATTTTCGGTTTTCATATCCTGGCCAAATCAGCAAAGTGAAAATCTGAAATTTTTATTTTTTTTTTATAGCTGTAATCATTATTCCTAGAATACCTTGTGAAAAATTAACCAAATGATTATTCTGCTGATTTGATAGGTTATTGATTTCGGTATAATCAATATAATATTTATTATTTACAAAGATAGTCTAAAGTAGAGTTAGTCACTAAAACCTTTTTTGCAAAATCTGAAAGTTTCGGGTTTCAGATTATAGTTTCTGAAACCTTATCTAAAACTCGAAACCTCATCTGAAATCCTATCTGAAACTCTGAAACCTGATATTCCTTCTGAAATCTTGAACCTCCAAAGCTTTATGATTGAAAAAAATTAGAATACTCATCGATTCAAAAAATTGTTAAGCATTTAGGTGTTAGCAAATCTTCTATAAGTCAGTTTTCTGGCTTTCAAGATATGGATGTATTGAAAAGCTTTCGCAATACTTTATCGATTTTTTAGAATCTTGCATTTAAACCAGTTGATGAATTCTTAATCATATCTCTAACTTTTTTTAATATTAGTACCTATTCATGTGGCATGTTTATTATAAAAGTCTATTTTATATTTGAAGCCTTTTTTATATTTCTTATCAAGATTTATTTGTTAATAAAAACTTCTTTATCATAAATCTTCGCACAAATTAAACATACCAAATATGCTAAACAAATATTCAAACGAAAGTTTAATAATATTGAATGTATCAACATTGCAAGTATACTTCAGTTAAGAATAAAATAGAATAAAATGGAATTATTATAACTAATAAGTCTCAAATTACTTCAAAAATTGAATTTTAAAAATATTCCATGTCTCTGAAATTAAAAACTATTATAATATGTATATAATAATATATAGTATACAGGTATATGTGTTAGAAAAATAAGTAAGAGTGTCGGGAAGTAGAACTGTCTAAATAAATTTCAATATATTATATTTTTTAAGTTTCAGATTATAGTTTGAGGGTTTGGATTATAGTTTTGGGGTTTTGGGTTTTGGGGTTTCAGTTTTTTTAAAAAAATCTGAAACTAGTTTTGGATTAGAGCTTTCTGAAACTAGTTTCGGGTAGGTTTTGTTTTGAGTACCAAGTCTAAAGCCAAGTATGTAC